GAACACATTAACCACTAACCCCTGTGACCCTTTACCCCCACTGGCCCTCAGTAACCACCATTCTACTGTTTCTATGCATTTGACTATTCTAGGTATCAAATGCCACTTCTAAAACTTCATTTTTACTTAAATCAATTTTACAGCACATGGTTTAAAGAGTCAAGTAGTTCTACAAGACTTGTAAAAAGCAGCTGAGTCCTGCTCCCCATTCCTTCTTCCCATGTCTTGCTCTCTAGCAAAACCAAATTGAATTCTTTTAGCCTTGACATTCACATCCATAAACCTCCATGTGGTGTTTATATTGCTACTTCTTGCTTTTTTAAGTTTTAGGCATTTTCTATTGATTTCTCACTATGAAAAATAAGAATTTAGCTTTCCCATACCATGGTAAAAATGAAGTATATGTACAAGAGCCTGTTTAAAACTTTCATTGCCTGTTAAAATTAACTCTTTTACCCACCATTCAGCATTAACAAGAACAAACACAACTTAGAAGCCTCTTTGCACTCCCTTCCCTTCCCCCAGATGAAACCACAAATCCATGATGATAATTTCCTTCCTTTTCCTTGTAATATCAGCTGTGCACTTATTCCTGGACAATATATTGTTCTGTCTTACCTGTCTGAACATATACAATGGAAACATACAGTGCATGTTCCAATTTGCCATCTTTCACTCAACATCGCTGTTTTGAGGTTTGTCTGCTGGATGCATGTAGCTGTAATTGGTTCATTTTCTCTTCTCTGTTGTATTACAGCTACGTCTCCATTTTAGAAATACAATCTTGGACATAAATCTTGCTGCACAGGCATAAGAGTTTCTTCGTGGCGTATAGCTGGGTGTGGAATTGTTCGGGTGTAGGATATGCGGCTTTACTAGGTAACAACTCTGTTCTGAAGTGATTTCACCACTTTAAAGCTCTACCAGGAGTGATGAGAGGTGCTCTTGCCCTCAACTCTTGGTATTGACTGACGTTTAACTCTTGATAATTTGGTTGTATGATATGATAATTTCATTGTGGTTTTAATTTTCTTTTCCCTGATTACTAAGTATAATTTTCATATGTTTATAGATCATTTGTGAGTCTCCTTTCGAGAAATGGATTTTTGTGTTCTTTGCCCATTAAAAAATGATTCACAGATGTTCTTTTTATATCATGGATATTGTTTTCCAGTTTTGTGTGTTACCAAAAAATCCTCTCAGATTGAGGCTTATTTTCTATTCTCTGTTGCAAAGTTCTTAATTATAATGTAGTTGATTTTACTCATTTTTTCCCTTTATGGGAAACTTTATAGTTTTGTTTTATATTTTTTGCCTTTCACTTATTTAGAAAAATTATTACCTATTCCAATGTCATAAAATATTGTTTATGTTGTCTTCTGAGAGTGTTATAGTTTGTCTTTTACATTTAAGTACTTTAATCTACCTGGAACTGATTTTTGTATGTGGTAGGATTGAGATTTAATGCCATTTTCCTCATACAGATCTATGGTTGTCTCAGCAACATTTACTGAGTAGTCTTTCTGTTCCACAATGACATGCGGTGCCAAGTCTGCAGAAAAACAAAAGTTTCCAAATATGCTTGAGTTTGTTTCTGTTATGTTCTGTTTGTCTGTGCCAATACTATGCCATCTCAATTACTATAGTTTTGCTTTATTTTTAAATTTGTACTTATTTATTTATTTTTGGCTGCGCTGGGGCTCTGTTGCTGTGTGGGCCTTTCTCTAGTTGTGGCGAGCGGGGGCCACTCTCGAGTTGCGGTGCTGTGGCTTCTCATTGCAGTGGCTTCTCGTTGCAGATCACAGGCTCTTGGACACATGGGCTTCAGTAGTTGCAGTTCTCAGGCTCTAGAGCACAGGCTCATATAGTTTTATAATATGTGCTAGTGTCTGATATAGAAAGTTCTCCTAATTAGTTCTCCAGGATTGGCCTGACTCTTCTTATGGCCTTTATTTTTTCATAATCATTTACATCAGCTTTTGAAGTTGTATGGGCTGTTGGGTTTTTGATTGGAATTATATTGAATCTCTAAATCTATTTGGGAAGAATGTAATTTTATGACATTGAATTTTCTTACCCTATGATAAAGTATATCTTCAGATTTATTTTAAATTTTAGCATTTTTCAGTAAAGCTTTATAATTATCTTCAGGAAGGATTGCACATTATTTGTTAGAATAATTCCTAAATATTTTTATATGTTAAAAATTCTTGGGAAATTGAAAGTAGTAGTGACCCTCTTGTTTCTGAAAGTGCCTTTTGACTTGATGTTCATTTTTATCTTATATTAATAAAGCTACAGATATTTTCTTTTAGTTAACATTTACCTGACATATCTTTTTCCCCCCACTTTTGACTTTTAGTTTCTTTAGTTCTTATGCTTTAAGCATAGCTCGTGTGAACATATATAGCTAGGTTAAAAAAATCTATTCTGATAATTTTGTCTTGTACTAGAGAGTTAAAATCATTTACATGTAAACTGAAATATATATTTAGGTAAGTTTCTTCTTTTTATGCTCTCTTTGTCCTACTTTTACCCCCTGCCTTCTTAACCTTCCTTTCTCATCTTTTGATTTATTTTTCCCCCTGTATTTTATTTCATCTTTACCCTTTCTACCTGTTTGGAAGTTACTGCTTTAGCAAATTGAACATGCATACTTAATCGACGTCTAGAAAATTATCACTATCTACCCTTTCTTCCAACAGTTCTAGGTTAAAACACTTAAACACTAATTCTGATTATCCACTTGGAAGTAACTTGCTTTATTGTGTAGGATTTAAAGTATTGATGTTAAGCAATCCAGAGAAAAGTATTTTCCTAGAATTCATAACAATAAGTTAGCCTCTCCATGAGTCTGTGGTCTACATTTATGCTAACTATGCTGTCCAAAATAACTCAAGCAAATAATTTAGAGTGATCTCAGGTTGGTAGTGGGCCCCCCCCCCCAACACCGGCAACTCATAAAAGTAAATACAGATCCTCTCTGGAGGAACTCAACTTCAATCTAGGCCTCAAAGGAATTCCACAGATAAAGGTCCAAAGAAAATGATTGACTCACAGATAGATGGCACAAGAAAACAATGCACTTTGAATAAGAACCAGCAGAAATAATATGCAGTAGACATAGACCGGCAATCTTCAGATACTGCAGTTATCTGACACAGATTCTAAAATTACTAAGTCTTGTAAGTTTAAAAAAACAAACAAGAGGTTCTAAAATAGATAAGAATTTCAAGTCTTTTGGGCTCAAAAAGAATCAAATAGAACTTCCAAAAAATGAAAAAGGAATACCATATTGTGCTGACTATAAAATAAGATTGTAAGATGCAGCATAATTTTATGGGCCATCAAAAATACTGCCAATTATCATTCAAGATGCCACTGATTATAAGGTGCTCCTGGATTGCAGGGGTGTTTAAATCTGAGAGAAAAGTTGTTTCATAATTGATGAACTATATAAATTGAAAGTTAAAAATCTAGCAGATTGATTAAATTACAGATTAAGCTCAGCTGATGACAGAATCAGTTAACTGGACTAAAACAGTATTCAATATAAGTAAATTATCCAGATTGTAGCCCAGAGAGACAATGAAATAGGAATATGATAGAAAGACTACATCTTAGAGGATAGAATGAGAGCACAAAACATATACCTAATAAAATTCCAGAAGGTAATAAAGAGATTGGGTAAAAGCCAATGTTAAAAAGTATAATGATTGAAAAATTTATGAGAATAGTGGAAAGATAGCTATCCCCAGGTACAGGAATCCAATCTCAAGCAGGATAAACCAAAAGAGATTTGTACCTAGACACATTATTATGTATCTGAAGCATACATGAAGATAAAACTGCAGAACATCAAAGACAAAGAGGTCTTCAAAGCAACCAAAGGTAAGATCATATACTAAAGAACAGTAAATAGACTAATTGATTACCTTGTAACTGCGAAAGTGGAAGCTAGAAGACTGTGGGATCATGTTTTCAGTGTGTTCTGAGAAAAACAATAATCAACCTAGAATTTATTCAAGAATTAAAGCAAATAAAGAATTTTCAAACAAATAAAAAGAGAGTGCTTTTTTTTCACTAAAGGAAATGTTTAAATATATACTTCAAGTAGGAGGAAAATGACCCTAGATACAAGGAATATTCTTCTAAGGAGGAAGATCAAGAACTCTTTAGAGTTGAAAGATCTCTACTCTTCATGGGAAAAGTTTGCTTACCTTTCATGGGTCTTGCTTTTACATCTTTTGGCATTCTTACTTTCATGCCAACCCAGTGAGGCATTAAGAAAAGTTGTATTTTATCTAGCATTTTACTTATTTCATTTGGGCAGGGTTGGTCAGGTATATGGCAAGAGGTGAAAGTCCTTCTAACAACTTCTTTAGGGTAACTCTCCCTGCATCTTCAGTCTATATGGAATCTATGCTACCTGTCCTTCTGGCACATTGTACCTTCCCCTTGTAACACATACTTCAGCTATATTTTCACATTTATTTGTACGCTCTTTCAATTGTCTACTTACCCCAAAAGAAACCTAAGGGCCAGATCTGTATCACTCTATTTTATTTCCACACCTTAGCAAGTGCTTGGCCCATAGTAGGTATTCAGTAAGCATCTATTGAGTAAATAGTGTCTACTTAATTAGACATTGTCTAATGTCTAATTAATGTCTACACATAAAAATTAATTAATGAGTAATTAATTTTGCGTGAGAAGCCAGTGTTAGGTATTAAACACAGCTGTGTGTGTCTGCTTCAGATCCAGCCATGGAGGCAGTACTTAGGGCTGGTGAATTCTCACAGAACTGTGCTGTCTTATAATACAGCACTCATTAGCCACATGTGGCCATTTAAATTATTTAAATCAACTAAAGCTAATTTAAAATTGGAATTCCTCAGTCATGCTAGCCACTGGTGGTTATCCTATTGGATACTGCAGACGTAGAACATTTCCATTATCACAGAAAGTTCTATTGCATGTGCTGCTGTAGAATTCTCAAGAATTCTTAACTGTGCCTCTGTCTCTCTTTTGCTCTTGCTCTCGATCTATCTCTGTCTCTTTCCCCACCCCTAAAGCAAGTGCAGGGATTGTCTTATTATTAGTGACTTATAATGATGCTTTTGAACAAGAAGATGCTGGGTACTTTGGGTGACTAGTACCATCCCACTGTTTTTCTTTTAAATTCCTGACCTATTGTTTACTAGTATATTCTTTTATTCAAATTTCTACTGACGCTGAATGTTACTTGAGTAGAAAGTCTAATTGCTTTCTTTTCTAGGTCCTTAAACTCTTTGCTAATGTTTCAGTCTGAGAGTTCTCAAAGCCAGGGTTCTAGGAGAGTTTGGCATGTCTGAACAGCTGAACTGCGAGATAATGGAGTAGGTCCAGCCGGGGTGTGGGAGCAGGGCATTCTCTCCATAAAAGAGCTCTCCTCTCTGCACACATGGCCGGTTAATTGGCCATTCTGGGAAAGCATGGATGGGGAGGGGGGCTTCTGAGAATCGCCGGTGACAGTTAAGTGGCCTTTTGTTGATGTCCTCTGCTGAACAACTTTGTTGGATTTAGTCTCTGCCTTTCCTCCACCTCCTGCGGATTTTCTGTTAGATTCATCATTTACCATTCAGGCATCATCTTTCACTTTCTCCTTCTAATATGATTGCTTTGTATGCTGGACTCTGCTTTATTCATACTGTTCCCAGACCATAAAGGGGGCTGTGTGGGGCTTCAGCAGACTGAGAAATTGACTCTGCTCTCTGTTGAGAACTATAATAATGACTGCAGTGACCTTCATGTCTAGCAGAAAATGCACTACCTATCCTGGCATAATGGTGACCACCTGAAGACAGCGAAAAGGGACCCTTCACTGAATTCCTTCTCATAGAATAGACATTTCCTTTGTTCCTCGCTCCATTTTCTTCTCTCCCCTTCGCTCCACTGCAGCTAGAGTCCTGACCTAAGATGCAGCTGTGACTAAGAGCTAATGCTTTGAGATAATAAGACCTTCTATTTTGCAGGCTTTGCCAAGCCAGTTCCCCAAGTTGTCTCATCTAATATCCCCCAGAAAACCCTGTGAGGTAGGGAGGGGAGATATTATTAACCTATTTGACTGATGAGTAAATTGAGACTTAGAGAGACTAGGTCAGTTGCCCCAGATCTTTTAGACAGGAAGTGAGTGCCCAGCTCTGTCTAAAGCCGGTGTTGTTTCAATGGCATCCACACCTTTATGTTCAAGGATCATATGTGTGTGTGGATAGGGAGGGAGAAGGAGCACAAAGAAGAGATTAGCAGGAGACTGGAAAGGAGCGATTTCCTTGGGCCTATGACTTCTCTCAGTCTTTCCCTGGAGATGGAGGATTCGATATTCACGAGAGGCTGGCCCAGTAAACCTCTGGGAAGGAAAACAGCTAAAGGCCTTGACTTCCTCTTTCCCTACCCCTGCCCCCCCGCACCCTCCCAGGAGAGGACTCGCCTAGAAGTGGGGAGGGACACCCCACCTCTGGAAGGCCTGACGTGGGAGTCCCACGCAGGGTCTCCCCAGAGAGCCTAACGCATGTTCTCTGCTGGGCCTGCCGGCGTTTAGGTGCTCTGCTCTCCTGAGGTCCGGCCATGCCTGTGTGCAAGGAAAACAGCTGAAGTTCGCCTGGAGGAAGAAGCATGCAGAGTTCCCCTGGAGGAGGCGTGGCTCCCAGGTTGTCCCCTGTGGGCAGGCGGATACTCCTGGCCTGCAGCTTTATCCTTGCAGCAGCTTTGGGCCAGATGAATTTCACAGGGTGAGTGGCTGCTCCTTAGTGGGAGAGAGGATTGCCGGGAGCCAGGTGACTTGGTGGCCCAGCAGGACCTGATCAGGGCAGAGGGATTCAGGATTTCATTTCCCATCCTGAACCCACTTCTTACTCCTTCCCCTCCCAATTTCATGTGTGAGGGCAGGACGTGCAGCTGTCTTATTATTCCTCCCCAAATCTAGAGTTCTTAGTCTGGATGAATCCCAAGAATCCAAGAATCCCCTGAAACCATGTGTAAAATTTTGTGTGTATCTACTTTTCTCCAGCGTTTGTAACTTTCCTCTGATTCTTTAAAAAGTCATAACCCCCCAAAGACTATGTGTTCCTAGTGTGTGGGTGTGGTATTGTCCTCCTTTGAGTAAGATTAAGTACGAATATTACATATCAGGCCCTCTGCAGACATGATTTCTCAGCCTTCCAAAGGTCCCGCAAAGTGAGCACTCCATAGTATTTCCATAGTGGAGAAGAGAAGACGCAAGCTTGGGGGGGGTGGTGTTCATCATCCAGGGTATCAGAGCCGGTCAGGGAGGGAGCCATGGCCATCCCTGGCTCAGACCCCAGAAGTCACACTGCAGGCTGCTCAGTTACCCCGGCTCCCACCCCCTCCAGGGGGACGGGAAGGGGCTCAGCTTCCACCTGTGAGGTAGGGTGAGATCCATCTCTTCTACGTCCTCCAGCTCTTGGGAGAAGGCAGGGGGGCACAGGGTTGGGGCAGACATGGCCTGGACCCTTGTACAAAGAGTACATGGGGCCACCATCAGTACCTCAACTCCCTGTATCCTTTTCTCTCCTTCATTCCTATTTTTTCTTCCTCCCTTCTCTACCACCACATTCCTTATCCATCCTGTTTCCCCTGTCTTGGCATTGGGTTCATCAGCAGCACTGAAAGGCTTTATTGAGTCCCCAGGTGGCCTATCTTTGGGTCTGGAGAGACCCCTTGGCCTCAGGCTTTTGGAGCTTCCCAGAGCTACAGGTCCTTCTGCTCAGGGGTCCTCTCACCTTCCAGCTCTCCTGCCAGGTTCTCTTTTCCACTCTGTGTCCTCCAGGCAGCACAGCCTTTCAGGAACCCCTCTGAGAAGCTCCCTCGGTCCCCTCTGTGTCTTTCCAGTGACCAGGTTCTTCGAATCCTGGCTAAAAATGAGAAGCAGCTTTCACTTCTCAGGGATCTGGAGGGCCTGAAGCCACAGAAGGTGAGAAATCTGCGGGGCTTGGGGCCAAGTCCTCTTCTCCCTCACAGCGGCCTGTACCCTCAGTTCCCTGTCCCATTTCCTCCATCCCAGACCTGGCCCTCTGGGTGTGCGTGCCAGAGATGACAGCGCTGGGGGAGAATCAAGCGTGGCTTCTCTTCAGGAGAGGCTGGGAACACTGGCCCAGAAGGTGGGACAGCCCTGCTTGGCTTTCCCCTCTGCCCTGTAAGGGAGGGCTGCTCTGAAAACGCTGGAAGGTCCTAAAGTCACATGAGAGGTGCATGAGTCTCTGGGTGGGATGCCATGCCGCACGCACGGGACACATCTGCTTCCCAACTGAAATGGCTTAGCTTGGCAAAACTGTTTTATTTGGGCTCGTCCCTCAGCCTGAGCCCTGGTTTCTGAGAATGTGTGTCCTCCGCAAGTATTCCACTAGGCAAGACGTTTTCTTCAATACAGAAGGGTTTGGTCTGGGGACTGTTGAAGCAACCAGATATTTCTGGATGTGCCCCAAAGCCCACCATCCTATTTGTCTGAGTGCCCCCATCAACCAGGACTCAGCACACTTCACAATAATTCTTTCCATTTTACAGACTGAAAATCGGACAGCACAGGGCTCCGGATGGGGCCTCTCCTGCCCCTCTGGGGCTCGGGGGCAGTGATGTCTCCCTCTTCTCCCCAGTGTTCTTGACCATGTGAATGTCCCAGCTGATAAGCCATCTCACCTTTAGAAAACTATTGTGGGCTCTTTGGATCTGGGTGAAGTTACAGGGAGTGAGTGAGGCTGGGAGATAGAGGTGCTTACTTAGCATCAGGGAAGGAAACTCCATGACCTGGGGGTTTTGTTTGTCTCCGTCTTTCTGCTCTGCCTTATGCCCTTTCAACCATATAAGAGAAGATCATCGGTTCTCTGGGTGCCTGCAGGATGTGTGATACATGTGCCTATTGTTTTTTCTCCTTTGTGACCAAGGTGGACTTCTGGCGCGGCCCAGCCAGGCCCAGCCTCCCTGTGGACATGAGGGTTCCCTTCTCTGAATTGAAAGACATCAAAGCTTACCTGGAGTCTCACGGCCTTGCTTACAACGTCATGATAAAGGACATCCAGGTGAGGTCCTGCCCCAACACTGAGGCTGAAGGTCTCACCTTCACATCCCTTGCAGGTTTGGGCCCAACCTGGAGAAAAAAAACCCAAGGCTAAAATGGATGTTTTCTTTCTGGAGTTCCATCTGCATTTTTGTGAACCTTCCAGGGAAGGAATGAAACCTCACACTAGTCAAAGAAAATTTAAATCTAAAAAAGATCTTTCTAAAAAATTTAAATGTAAGAAAAATCTAAGAAAGGGTTCATAATTCACAGTGTGGTAATGTCAGGGTAGCTTGTGGAGTCCTCTTCAATGAAAAAAAATTTTTTAACTTTATACAGTTTTAAAGGTTGCTTTCCACTTATAGTAACTACAAAACTTATTGGCTGTATGCCTTGTACACTACGTCGCAGGGCCTATCTTATACTCGCACTCACACTTCTCCCCACTCCTCTGCCTCTGTCTTGTTCCCTTGCAGTCCACTAGCTAACCATCAGTTTGTTCTCTAGATCTGCGAATCTGCTTCTCCTTTGTTATATTCACTAGTTTGTTGTGTTTTTAAGAGTTCTCTTATGGAGGCATCTGTAGTGCATGGCAAAGGAGAAGACAGGGAGAAGGGAGGCAGGAGGGAGTCGCTCAGGTCTCTCCTAGGTGCTGAGGGCGGGGAGGGCTCTTCTGGACGGCTCCCTCTGCTTTTCTGACTGTGCCTTCCTGTCCTGGTGTGTCTCACCCATTCGATAGCAGGGAATTCCTTCACTCCAGAGAAGCAGGAAGAGCTGCGCCAAGACGCTCCTGTGAACCCTGCTGTGGTTTCCTTCCTGCCACCTCCAACGCCGGCTCTCAGTACCCGGCGTCTCTCCCGGGCAGGACTCTCCCAGAATAACAATTCTGGGAGAAAGTGACTACAGACCTGCCCTTGGTGAGGGTGAAGGGAGACTTCATTCCAGGCACCCCATTCTCTCCCCACCCTCACTTGTTGCTGCATCTTAACGGCATCTTTTTTGAACATCATGAAATTCTGTTTTAATTGATCTGTCTTCCAGAATACCCCCCAAGGAGCCTCTTTCCTAAAATGATTCTTGTGGGGCATCCCTGGGTTAGACCTCTCTGGCTGCACCCCTCTGCAGATGCTGTTGTGTACCTGCAGATTTGTATGCACACAGGTTCCTGCCCAGCCATGTTGTGCTGCCGCTAGTCTCCTCTATGGGCTCTGAGTGTGGGAACACACAGTCCCCGGAGTGCACACACTCACCGCCTGCCAGGGGATAAACGCATTAGGTGCATTCCTTTTCACGCAAGCACAGGGCTGGGGCACTCTGGTCCATTCAAAGACCTTTCCTCCTCCTCAGGCACATCTGTTTCCTGTTTCCTACTCAACATATGGGAGTAGGCTCTTCGCCCAATTAAATCCCCCACAAACATAAATGGGGAAACTCCCATAGACAAGAGAGGCTACCACATCAAAAAATTCAGTGCTCAATTCTCATTTTCGCCCCTGCCTGCATTTTTCAAAGTTTGCATTTCCCTGCGTCTGCCCTGCCCTGGAGACTCTGCATTATTTGGCAAACAGATATGAAGAGGTCTCTAAAATTTTTCTGTTGATTTCTGTGTATCAGGAGTGGTCCCAGAGGCACCTGGGAGTCTCCCTGCATCACTGGCTCCTCCGGGGCTGTCCTCTCCTGTCACCCCCAGTCCTGGACTCCCTTTAAGGATGGGGAAAGAGGAGCTTTTCACTGCCTCTCAGGAGAATGCCCTGGACTCTCGGTGCTAACCCAGTCAGGCAGGATTTTCACCAGCAACTTACTCTGTCTGCGATGCATCAAGCTCTGATTGTCGTACTTGAGATCACATTTTGGCTTCCAGGAAGCTGGGGCTGGGGGGGAGGCTGCTGTTTTGAGTTGATTTGTGGTGATGATGGGGAAGGTGTCCATGAGGAGGAAACTCAGAGGCGTTAACAGGAGGGAAGGGCTTTGCACCACTCAGGTTGCTGGCCTCCAGTCTCATGGTTTAGTTATTGACGCACAGGCCCAATTGCTTTCTGTCTTCTGGATCTTCTCACCCCAGTGTTTGGCATAGTGTCTCCTGCACGGGACCCTCAGTAACTGTGTGCTGAACGAATTGCTTAATTGGCAAGTTCAGGAAAAACGTTCCCAGAGAGACCTGGTTAATACATTGGTCTTTGTCTCAAGAGTCCCCTCCCCAAACCCCTCAAGGTATAGAATCATTTACCTTATCTATCTTTATACCCCAGCATCTACCATAGGGCCTGCCATTTAGGTAGGACTTAGAAAATGGCTTCCCTGGTAGCTCAGCTGAAAAGAATCCGCCTGCAATGCAGGAGACCCTGGTTCGATTCCTGGGTCGGGAAGATCCCTTGGAGAAGGGATAGGCTACCGCCTCCAGTATTCTTGGGCTTCCCTGCTGGCTCAGACAGTAAAGAATCTGCCTGCAAAGCGGGAGACCTGGGTTCCATCCCTGGGTTGGGAAGACCCCCTGGAGGAGTGCATGATGACCCACTCCAGTATTCTTGCCTGGAGAATCCCATAGATAGAGGAGCCTGGTGGGCTACAGTCCATGGGGTTGCAAAGAGTCGGACATGACTGAGTGACCAAGCACAGCACAGCGCTAGTAAATGTTAGTTCACTTAATGGTTGTGAGAAGGAAAGGAAAGAGGGTATGTTTGCTGGTTAGTACCAGGCTGAGAGAAAGTGTGAAAAACCTTGATCCCAGCTTTCACCTTGGCCGGAGATACTGGAGATTTTTGAGGAAGGGAAGTGCCCCCTACTCCCTCCTGTCTTGTGATCAGAAAGATGCTTGAGATAGACTAGGTGGACTCATTCATTCCACCCACAGATACAGAGATGCCAACTGTGTGCTGGGTATTAAGCAAGGTACTGGAAAAACAAAGATAAAGAAATCTAGTCCCTGTATCCAGGGGAGCTGGAGTGCTGTGGGGGTGGGGAAGCGGAGGGGAGTAAATCAGTGATTACAATGGAGTGGATGATGCGCTGATGGAGTGGAGCAGGTTGCTATGGGAGCGAGTACAAGAGGCACTGCATGGTCGCTCTGAGGCTCTGAGAAGGCGGCAATTACGGTGTGGCTGAAGAGCAGGAGAAGGGAGGGCTGGGGAGGGGAAGGGGCCCATGATTGGCAATGAGGCCAGACCAGAGCACAAAGGGCACCCTCCACCAGGTGAAAAGGTCGAGAGAAAATCCCGAAAACCGTGGGGGAGCCTTCGGAGGGCTCTGACACGATCAGATTTGCATTTAAGAAAAATCCTTCTGACAGTGACAATGTTGACAGTGTTGAGTTGGGGACAGGAGCAGGGAGAGACTGACAGGCAGGAGGGTGGTGAGGAAATTGCAGTGGGCCAGGAAAGAAATTATCTGATTCTGAGTGAGCTCTATTTGCATTTAATTTTTCTTCACCTCCTCATTCTTTTTAGCCCTTTGGTTTTTTCTTTTTTTTTCCCTGGGATGAGTCACCATGGAAAGGCTTCACTTGAGCAATCAGCTCTGTGGATTTTAATGGCTTTTTTTCTGATTACAAAATTAATAAATATTCATGGTAGATAATTCGGAAAATAGGGGAAAGCACAAAGGAGAAAACAAAAATCACCCATGCTCCGAGCATGCTCTAGAGTAAAATACAATTTAGTGTAAATACTGCTTGGCCAATTTTCCCCTCTCTCCTGGATCATTCCCATTAGCATACAAATATAGAGTTATTTCTCTCATCTTAAAAAGGTCCTCTCTCGATCCCTTCCCCCAACCTCCAGCTATCACCCCACTTCTCTTATTCCAAGAGCAGAACTCCGGGAAATGTTGACTCTACATGCCATCTTCATCCCTCTTCTTGGGTAAACTGTCCACCCCTACTTTCACCCCAATTGTCACACACAGTGTCACACACAGCTCCCAGGTTTCCTCAGCAGTTAGCTCTGAGTGTGCATCATTCTTCCAGCTTTTAGCCCGACCCATCACTCTCTCCTCTCTGGAGTTCTGGGACATTGCATTCTCCTGGGTCGTCCCATCTTACTGGCTGCTCCTCTGCCTGTTGTTCTCCTGTTTCCCAGCTCTGTCCTTTGACCTCTTTGTCCCCTCATCCAGGATCATGGAATTGAATACCTCCCACCTCCTGAGCACTCCCCTGTTGGTAGCTCCAGCCAGCCTCTCATATCCGATCTGAACTCCGGGCTCACACCTCTGACCATCTACTTGGCATTTCTACCTGGGTGTCTAATTGGCATCTCAGACTTCACAGGTACAAACCCAGCTCTCCTGGCCTGCTCCTCCACAGCCTCCCCCAGTGCAGCAAATGGCAACGCCGTCCTCTCAGACTACTGGAGAAACCATAGCCTTGACTAGATGGATCTCTGTTGGCAAGGTAATGTCTCTGCTTTTTAATATGCTGTCTAGGTTGGTCATAACTTTCCTTCCAAGGAGTAAGCGTCTTTTAATTTCATGGCTGCAGTTACCATCTGCAGTGATTTTGGAGCCCCCAAAAATGAAGTCTGCCACTGTTTACCCATCTATTTGCCATGAAGTGGTGGGACCATATGCCTTGATCTTTGTTTTCTGAATGCTGAGCTTTAAGCCAACTTTTTCACTCTGCTCTTTCACTTTCATCAAGAGGCTCTTAAGTTCTTCTTCACTTTCTGCCATAAAGGTGGTGTCATCCACATATCTGAGATTTTTGGTATTTCTCCCAGCAATCTTGATTCCAGCTTGTGTTTCATCCAGCCCAGCATTTCTCATGATGTACTCTGCATATAAGTTAAATAAGCAGGGTGACAATATACAGCCTTGACATACTTCTTTTCCTATATGGAACCAGTCTGTTTTTCCATGTCCAGTTCTAACTGTTGTTTCCTGACCTGTATACAGATTTCTCAAGAGGCAGGTCAGGTGGTCTGTCCCACAGATAGTCCATTAGCAAATCCTATCAGTTCTCCCTTCTGATAGTGAGATGTAGAGAGATGTATCTTGCAGATCCTATGCTAGCACCATGGGTCAACACCCCATCAGCCCTCACCTGGATTATTCTAGTAGTTTCCTAACTGTTCTCCATGATTCCACCCTTGCTTTCTTATTGCCTAGTCTCAACACAGCAGTCAGAGGTGTTCTTTAAAAGTATGCAAGTCCTGTTATATCAGTCCTCTGCTTAAAACCCTCCATGTCTCCCCACCTCATTCACAGTAAAAGCCAAAGTCCTTAAAACTGCGATAAGGTTCTACATGATCCATGTGCTGCCCTGCACTGCTGACTCTTGCTCACTCTGCTCCAGGCACCAGCACCTTCTTGACATTCCTCCAGCTTGCCTGAGCTATCCTTGCTTCAGTGTCTTTGGCTAGGATCATACCTCAGGGCCTTTGCACTTGCTGGCCCTATATTGCTGCAATGCTGATTCTGCAAATATCAGCATGTGGTTCACTCCCACACTGCTTTCAAAACTTGACTCACATGTTAACTTTTCACCTTATGTTAAGTTGTACCTTTCTCCCACATTCCCCCAGTTCCCTCCCTCACTTTTCTTCTTGGCACCCATGGCCTTCTAATATCCTATATGGTTCACTTCTTTGTCTTGTTTATCATCTGTCTCCCCTACCAGATTGCAGGGCTCCCTGAGGGCAGGCAGTTTTGTTTTGTTGACTGCTGTGTCTTTAGTGCCCAGCGTGTGCATCACAGACGTTCCTCTGCTGAATGTGTGTGCATGCTAAGTCACTTCAGTCATGTCTGACTCATGGTGACCTCATGGACTGTAGCCCGCCTCTGTCCATAGGATTCTCCAGGGAAGAGTAGTGGAGTGGGTTGCCGTGCCCTCCTCCAGGCGATCTTCCCAACCCAGGAATCAAACCCAAGTCTCTTATATCTCCTGCACTGGCAGCTGGATTCTTTACCACTAGCACCACCCAGGGAGCCCAGTCTGCTGAATAGAAGAGATTAAAATTGGGAATTGTATTGGCTGGGGTCAGGGTGGGTGGCAGCTCTAAAGAGGAGAGGAGGCCAGGAATAGGTGAGAAAAGGAAGGAATCATGGGCAAGCCCCTGAGGGAGAGGCAGAGGCTGGCTGTCTGGGGGGTGAGGGTTGAGGAGGGTCCAGGGGGTGGGGAGACAGGGACAGAAGAAGGGCCAGGCCCTCTGTTGGTCCTGCGGAGGGGAGGGGCAGGGACTGTCTGACTCACCCACGTGACCACTAATGGGAGCAAACGCTGTCCAAGTCCTGCAGACACCAGGTTTCTGAGGAACCCAGGTTTCCTGGGCATGCCCTGTAATGACTATTCCACCACAGAGTCCTGGAGTCACCTCGAGAGTTACTGTTATCCTGTTGCCCCTCGTCATCATAGCTGGCATTTACTCATGCTAGGCAATGTTCTAAGCAGTTTACGTGTATTCACCCTTCTAATCCTCACAAGAACGCTTCAAGTATGTGTGAAAGTATGTGATAACATGACCTCCATTTTATGAAAGCTCAGAAAAATTCATAATTTGGAGACCAAGGCACAGAGAACTTAGTCATTTGCCCAAGTCAGTGACAACAAAGGATTTAACCTGAGATAGCCTGACTCCAGGCCCTGGACTCTTTACTCTTATGCCATCTGCCTCCTCAGTGGTGTCACTGTTGTTCATATGGTGTTTTAACTTTGCCTTTAGGACAGTGAAGCCCCAGTTCAGTCTTGACTTCTGAAGGGTTCATTCTAACAACCCCAGATCTGTACCCTCCCAGCCCCACATTCCAGCATAGGCATGGACTGTGGTTCCCACCAGCCATGCAGCTACCTCTACAGATGTTAGGCCTGCAGAAGAGGTCAGGGGTGGGTGAGGAGCAGTGACTGCTGTCCTCACAGAGCTGTGTTAGAGGCGTCTCCTGTCCCCGACCCACCGCTTCCGGGAGCTGCTTCCATTTCACGTCTGTGGTTGGAGAGAGCTGTGAATGCAGATTCCTTTCAGGTGTCATCTTCACCTTTGGGGCCCTCAGTCTGCTCCCCATCCCCCAGCGTCTTGGAGGTGCAGCTCTTAATGTCCCCATCCTTCCTTACTCCTGTCATAAATTAATTTACACCAAGGTGTTATTTTTTCTGTCAGGTTATGGCTTCCAGGGAGGCAAATGGCTTACTTCTGAGTCTCTCTTTTTTCTCTAAGAAGCCTGATAGGGCTGTGGTGAGACAAGACTGCATTCTTAGATCTCCCGTCCCCTTCCTTCCCTTCCCTCCCCTCAGCCCTGTGAAGGGAGCAAACATCTGTGTATTTTTCAGGCCAGGACAGATTCATGTTCCTGGAATCCAGGGCCCAGCTGTGAGGGCTGAGCATTTCCAATTTGTAAGCGGGTGTCACATCCATTCACAAGGCTGTGAGGGTGTTTGGAAAGTTATTTGCAGTTGTGTGCTGAGTTCCCATTTGCCCCCAAGCTGCTGTGTAGAACAAAGGACAACCTTGTGGGAACTCTCTTCTTGTGGGTGCCCCTGGGCTGTGTAGAAAGAACTGGGTCCTCCAGTCCTGTCTTCTCTCTCCTCCATCTTCACCCACCACCTACACCCCTAGGGAGTTAGTCCTTTAACTTCATGGCGGTGGGACCAGCAGGGGACAGAACCGGCCTTGACTCCCGGTACATCGGCCCGACCTGCTCTTTCTGCAGCTGCTCACTGCAGCTGGTCGTGCCTGGCCTATGGTGACGTGCACACATCGGTCATGGGGGCTGCTGAGATTTCTGCCGATTTTCTGGGAAGAAGACAAATTTCCTTTGTTAGGACTTCCCAGGATGGTGCTTCTGCCAGTGAGGATTGGGGCTCCTCCAGCCATCTCTCTCTAAACCAGCAATCCCTGCTTTGCCCAAGTCGGAATGTCCCCAGCCCAGCCTGTTTAGCTAGAAAACATCACAACTATAAATGCTACATGTGTAGTTGGTGCTCAAAAAGAAATGAGCCCCCAAGCTTTGATTTCCACTCCCATTTTAAAATTTGTGAATTTGAGGAATGTGAGTAAGCCGACAGGGGGAGTGGGGTGAGAGTGTCACCCAACAGTGACCTCGTTCTCAGCAGGTGGGGATGGAGAGGCGCTGTCTTCTAGCCCTCGGACTGGAGACTCCATGGATGGCTGCTCCTTCATTTTTAGACATTGGGACATTTTTGCCTTTATTTTAGTTTTTATTCATTTAGAAGATTTTACTTACTGAAGTAATATGAGCACGTTGCCAAAAATGTAAAAATAGAGAAAAGGAAAAACTGCTTAAAATCATAAGCTTTCTATCCTAACAATCATGTTAACATTTGGGTAAATTTTTTCTGGCATTTTACTGTCTTGTTTTCCTATGCTTGGGGTATTGCCTTTTCATTATTTTAAAGCACTTTTAAATTATAAGAATAGTATGATGGACTTCTCACCTGTTGTTAATATTTTATACATGTGCTTTCTCTCTCTCCCTCTCTGTACAAACACACACACACACACAGATGTGTATGTGTGTGTGATTCTTATTTGCCTTTAATTTAGCTAGCCAGATGGCCTTAAGGGACATAGTGCTAGAAACTAGGATATCTGGATTTTCATCTCATCTCTGTCCTTGTTAGCTTTGCTGTTAAGTCTGTTTATCTCTCTAATTTCCTTTATCTCTAAAACATGAATAGTTAATTCTTGCTCTGTCATCATAAGATCAACTGAGATGATGAGTATTAAGGTGCTTGGTAAACTAAAAGGCCATGGCCTGAAGCAAGGCATTGTTAGGATTTACTTGTGACCCAGAGGTGCACGGATTTCCCCAGTGGCTCAGTGGTGAAGAATCTGCCTGCCATTGCAGGAGATACAGGTTCAATCCCTGGGTGGAGAAGTTCCCCTGGAGAAGAAAATGGCAACCCACTTCACTGTTCTTGCCTGGGAAATCCTGTGGACAAAGGAGCCTGGTGAGCTACAGTCCATGGGGTCGCAAAGAGTTGGACGCGACTGAGTGACTAAACAACAACCTCAGAGGGGCAAACCGGGGTGACTTTGGGTTGAGGGCCTTTGCTTTCCCTTTTGTGGCAAAGGGGCCCAGACCCCCTCCCATACTGTAGTCGTTGCTGAGTCCTGGGGTGTCTTCGTCCCTGGGTGACAATGTAAGGGTATGAGTTTAGGATGAAAGGCACCTGCCCGTTTCACTGACTCCAAAAGTGGGGAAAATGCACCAGGATGATGTGGGAGGTCAATTCAACTCAGGCACTGTACTGCCCTCTTTGAGGGAAGTACCACAGAAAGACTGAGTGCCAGCTCCCAATTGCCACTCAAGTAAGGATGCTGCTTTGGCTCATCTGTACTTGTGTTTAAGAAGCAGTTAAAACGGTGAGTGAAAGACTATTGGCACATTAGGTAAAATGATTTGGACAGGCTTTTCAAATGGCTTGGACGTCAGCTGTCAGGGCTACTTCCTGGAGTAGAGTGCATGATGTAGGTCAGGTGAGCCCTCTGCTCTCCCAGGGGTCAGTGTACATAGTTCAGTTTGGGCTTTCGTTCAACAGAGTGTTCACAGAGGGCAAAAGCAATGTTGGCAGCAGCCCATGAGCATCTTTTCCAAAGCACTTTGGTATCTGTTATTACATTTTATCATATTGAAATGGGCAAGGCAAGTCCCGATTTTCAAGTTGAGGAAACCAAGGTTAAGGTTCCACAGCAAGTTAGTGGCAGTGGCAGACTTAGGACCACATTCTCCAGACTCCTTGTCCTGTGCTCATTTGGGAAAAGGCAGGATGAATGCCAGCTTGCCAAGCAGAAGAATCATACAGCAACCTGGCATCTCCTGATGCACAGCTCACACTCATGGTGGCTCATTCTGCTATGTCGACGCTGTCTTTGTGCAGCCAGCTGAGGCAGGGCCCAGAAATGACTTGCCTGGCCCAGCCTCCCCTTCCCTTCCAGTATGTGCTTCTGCCTCCCAGGTGCTGCTGGACGAGGAGAGAGAAGCCATGGCGAAATCCCGCCGGTTGGAGCGAAGCACCAGTAGCTTCAGTTACTCCTCTTACCACACCCTGGAGGAGGTGGGTCTGCCCCATCAGGCTCTAGACTCTGCTGTCCTCTTGGACCCTCGAGTTGTCCAGACTCACGGCTCTGGGGCTATAGGAGACTGTGAGCTGATGCCTGGAGAGTGTAGAACAGACACTGGGAGAAAGTTATTGATGTCTGAGATAAATAATCCTGCCTTCAAGAAGCTTAGAATCTAAAAGGGACAGGATGACGAAAAACAACACTGCAAGGACTATGAGATCTGTAAGTGGATTGAAGGGGCCAATAAAATGGAAGTAAGAGAAACTTCCAGCCAGAGAGAGCCTTGCAAGCTGACCCTAGGGGACTGAGTAGGCTCAGCACATGCTGCTCTTCCAGGCAAAGGCATAGTACTGCACGGAGGTGAAAAGTCTGGGAATTCAGGCTGACCACAGCTCCTGCCTTAGACCTGGAGGTAGTCTTTGATTTTTGCAGTTCTTTTAGGTCCTCAAGGGAGGTGGGAAAGCATTAAAGAGGGTGGTAGGATCAGGGAAGGAGAATATTCAGAGAGACCCTGGGGTTTGCTCCCTTCCCGCTTAACTGCCCATCTGAGAAACTTCATTCCTTTCAGATCTATACCTGGATTGACAACTTTGTAACTGAGCATTCAGATATTGTCTCAAAACTTCAGATTGGCCACAGCTTTGAAAATCGGTCCATCCTTGTTCTGAAGGTAAAAGCTGGCAGTGTTGACCACTAGACTATACAGTGAGTGCCTCTGGCATAAGACTGAGCTCATGTGCGGTTGTGGCTGGGCGGGAGTCAGCCAGTCTGTTTAGGGAGAGAGATGTGTATGCTCCTGTCCTGAGGTGATGCACAAGCTTTGGGATGGTAGTGTTCAGGGACCCACCCCTTGTAGGTGTGGACAGTTGGCAGTGCAGTGACCGGGGCATGTCCTGGGTCAGGAATCTGGTGGGAGGTTTGTTAAGGAGATGGAACTGCAGAATGGCAGTCATCACCTTGAACTTGGGATGTGAGTGTGAGTGAATCAGCATTCTTCCTGTTAACTCAGCTGCTTCATCTGGTCAATGGGAAGAGAAGTACACAGAAGCCTCATTTACAAATGACTGAGGTCCTCTGGCTTAGGCAGCCCCACGGATAGGCCTGAGTCTATGAGGAGACCTTCTAGCCCTTCACAGAGCCCACTGGAAACAGGGTTCCATAAACTTAGTGGCAGCAGTGCCCTTGGCCATGAAGGCGGCAGGATCGGTGGAAGTGTGAAGCATACCGGAAAACAATTCTTCGTATGTGCCCTGAAGTGCACTCGGGAGTGTGGACCACGCAGGTCATTTGACATACAGCTGTCAGAGAAGACAGACACTGCTGTCCTCAGAAGTGCCCTGGGGGACTCTTCTGAAGGGTCATTTGGTCTTGGCTAATGCGGGACTTGACTTCACCTGTGCCTGCTATGATTTCTCATAAGGGCTGACTGTGTTCTCTCTTTAATGTTGTCTAAGCTCTCGCTACTCAGGGTAGCCCCTGGACCCGCAGGAGCAGCATTTCTGAGTTTGTTAGAAATTACCAACCTCACCTTCCAGATCTACTACATCAGAATCTGCATTTTAGTAACATCCCTGGAGGATTCACATATCCTTGAAAGTTTGAGAAGCACTAGTCTAAAACACTTGCAGACCTGGGCAATTCTGTGCTTCTGACTAGATCAATTTGCCCTGCAAGAGCATCACTATGTTGCCAAGGTCCCCGCATGTGTGCACTTTCCACGGGCTCCTACACAGGTACCTGCTCATATGACCCCCCTCTCAGGAACAGGGAGCCACCCCAGGCACTGAAGATAAATCTGGGGCCTCCTTCCAGGCAGTCTGGGGACAGCCCTGTAGCTGTTGTGGTTCAAACTTGTGTGGGGCCTGGTGCTTTTCCCCAGTTCAGCACTGGAGGTTCTCGGCGCCCGGCCATCTGGATTGATTCTGGAATCCATTCCCGGGAGTGGATCACCCATGCCACCGGCATCTGGATTGCCAGGAAGGTCAGCATGGACCGTGGGAGCTGGGATGGGGTGGAGGGTTGGAGTGGCTCAACTATTTAAGGGCGCCTCCAGTTGAAAACTTACTTGGTTCATCTGACCTGGGGTGCTTTCTGCACACCTGCCCTGTGGAACAGCTGCCGTGAGTTCTGGCCATTTGCTGCCCAGAGCCCCCTCCTTCTAGTTGTTGAAAATCCAAGCCTTTGGTTCAAGGATGAGCCTGATGACCTGATGCCATCCCTGCCTGTAGCCAGTGGCTGTACTGATGTCCTGCTCTCCTCTGGAGGAGAGCCCACCAGGGCTTCCTGTCCCTCAGTCTATACCCACTCGGCCCTTTCTTGCAGATTGTCAGTGAATACGGCAAAGACCGCGTCGTAACAGATGTACTGAATGCCATGGACATCTTCTTGGAGATCGTCTCTAATCCCGATGGGTTTGCTTATACCCACAGCATGGTGAGAGCACCTGAGAGGGAGGGGCTTAGGGATCAGGGGTCAGCTCTGGGGGGGGATGGGGGAAAGAAAGGTCACGGTGGCTTTGGGATGCTCTGCTGAGGTTCCCTGGGGCAGACCCTTTGGGGGCTCCTTGCAGCATCTCAGTGGGGCAGGCGGGCTGCTCAGGTGCTGTGGCTGCAACTGTTGCCCTCCGACTGCCCAGGGAAGTCCACTGTTACTTGGCTGTGCTCAAGCTTCTCGCTATACCCCAGCTTTAACCACAAAGCGTTTGATCTGCAGCCGTGGCTCAGTATGCCAGCCCCATACTGCCCTAGAGATTCCTTCTTTTCGTCCCTCCCTGTTCCACCAGACCCGCTTCCTAGATGAGGATGTCAGAGGCTCCCACCCAGAAAGGGCTCAGTGAGTGAGTCACCTGCCCTGCGCTTTTTCAGAACCGCTTGTGGCGGAAGAACAAGTCCAGTAGACCGGGGATCTTCTGCATTGGTGTGGATCTTAACAGGAACTGGAAGTCAGGCTTTGGAGGTACCTCAGTCCGCTGCATCCGGGGGCAGGGCTGGAGAGAACTTGGTCCTTGGCACGTCTCCCACACAGTCAGATTATGTTGACGCATAAACGGGGAGGCAGAGCACTTAGCTAATGCGAGTGAGTCATGGCCAGGGACAGGCGGGCACATGCCTAGGATTATATATGGGGAGAGTTTGCATATGTCTGTTAAATGTATACATAAGTTAAGCCTTCGTGGGAAACAGCTCCTTGAATGGGGACTAACTGCAAGGATCAGATCCTAAATATGGCAGAGAAAGGCTTAAGGAGGTCCAAAGTAGTCTTGCTTGTTGTTCAAAACCCAGGATTTATGGTGCCCCCTGAATATCTCTAGCCCTTCCTTGAAGGGAGTATGCCACAAGAAAATGTCTCAAAACTCATTCCCTGAGAACTATGACCTAAATTTTGCTCTCTGGGGAGGCCGGGACCAAGGTTTAAATATAGAATAAGCTGGTTTCTTATCATCAACACTGACTTAAGCCTGGCTTTTATTTTCGGTCCAATTACTTTGTGACCCTGGGCTGTTGTGTATCCACAGGGCCCTGTGATCCTAGGGAGGAGTGGGCAGCTTCCTCCTGAGTTCCCTTGGTGTTCTTATTATCTCCGTTGCCATGCCAGGGGCATAAGGACCACATGGGGAAACTGAAACAGAGACCAGTATGAGAACCCTGGGAATGTTAATGGGCAGGGTAGCTTGATGGGTAGGATGCTGGGTCTAACCAGGACAGTCTCCAAAGCAGAGGGTGGAATAGGTATAGCCCTTGGCCTCCAGATGTGGCTGCCACACTATACCAGGAGTCAGAGTTTAGCTCCACAGGAGACAGTGCTATTGAAAAACAGATCTGCAGACCTGTTTGTTGGCTAACCCAACAAGGCAGAACGTTCTAGATCCAGATGCCCATTGTTTGAAAATCTGGCTTCTTTGAATCCGTTCTGTGAAATAAGGATAGCTCTGAAGTCTACAGAGCAAAGCCATCAGCCCAGAGTGTAGGGGTTGCCTGAGAATCGGGGTTGTGCTTGTAACTGCTTGTGTAAGGAAACACAGCTGTGTAAAATTAGGCATTTCCATCTCCAAATAACCAGATATTTGTCCCAAGAAAGCATCCACATGGGCCCTTTAGAACTGGCTGAAGTGAGTGCCTATCTACGCTGAGACAGACTGGCTAGAAGAAAGACAAATTACCTCTTAAAGAAAATATCTTTTGTGGGTTTCACCGCAGGGGGGAAAATCAGTATATACACAATGTGGGGGAAAAAAAAGCGGAAAAAAAAAAAAGCCCAGAGGGGACAAAAAGCTCCCATAATCCCACTGCCCAAAGATTACTGCTTTTAATAATTTACCGTGTCCTTCCAGCGAGTTCCCCTTGCTACAAATTACATTTTTGAGAAGGAAAAATAAATAGCTAATGAATCCATTAGCAGGTACTTGTGAAACAGGCAGGCTCGGAGGACTTTGACTGTGAACGTCAGAGAGAGGCAGGCAGCTAATTCCCATTTGGTCAGGGGAAGATTAGTTTATTCTGCTTAGCTCAAACCAGAACTAATGGCCTGAAGTGTTTCTCCATATTTGGGCAAAGCCACCTGGTCGTTGGCAGGGGAACCGCTTTCCATGCGTGGGCTGCAAACGCAGACAAAGCTTGCAGCCTCCCCCGCTCTGCTCATCTGTTGCTATTTGTCATTCATCAAGTGTAGCAGGTGCAGAAGCTCCCAGCAGACACAACAAACAGGGCCGCTGTTAGCTGGGCCAGCTCCAGCCCACCAGGCTGCTCCTACCCCTTCGTTCCCTGCAGGCACACCCCCTTCCAACCAGGGTCAGTCCTCACCCCCGGTGAGGTCGTGCAGACCAAGAGGGGATGCGCTTCCAGGTGACAGAATTGCCTCTGGGCCTGCCTGTGGCCAGAAATAGCGAGTATCTGGTTAGTGACTCAGGCGGGAAGATTTTGTTTATGACTTTATTATTGCCTTAATTTGATTTCTGCATAATGAGTAATCTGTAGATCATCCTTCCCACCTGTACCCCCCTCACCTGCACCCTTGGAGAGCACCTGTTTGCTGCGGTCCTAGAACAGCATCTGAACCGGTCCATGGGCCAGCCCCCCAGGTCTGCAGCCAACTCATTGCCCTTGGGGTCAGGGGGTGCTCTGGCATCCTCAGGAGGCTTTAGAAGTTGGGCAGCCCCTGGCTTCTGGCCGGGCTTCTGTGCAGTCATTTCAGGGAGGAGAAGTGAGAGCAGGGCCTGGGATGCTCCTTTCATGTGTTCCTAATCCCCAGATCTTGACCAGCCCAGCCTAGCCCTCCATCAACTGGTCACTGGGGAGGAGAGGAAAACAAGAGAGGAAGAAAAGAGATGGGGAGCGAAGAATCTAGTAGAGATGGGAACAAATGAAATTTGTGAGCAAAATAGAGGCACAGTTGCTCTTTGCCCTTCTTTCAACTTAGGTCCCCATTCAGAAGAATTTTCAAGAATTTTTTTGCATCTGTGCTTCCCAGATCAGTCTTAGGCAACTATGGTGATCTATTCTCTCTTTTCCCAGGTCCAAGCCCATGCTGCCCTTGGGTTGGCACAGCTTGTGCAGACACTCTATCTGAGCACTCAACTGACCCAAGCCTTCCCCATGGAAGTGGAGGGTCGGCAGAGAAGGGTCAGCTCACAGAGGTCACTGCTCATAGGGGAAGCCAGGTTGGAGACCTAGTGGCAACTGCTGAGGCAGGCCTGACTTTCGAATGGAACCACAGTCAGGACTTAACTGAAAAACAAGCTAAGGGAGCATCCTGCAGGGCCACAGAGTTGCTGAGTTGTGGTGTGGCAACACTCTGATGTTTTAGACCAGGGTATGCAGCAGTAACAAGCATCCCTCCAAGTCTCAGTGGCCTAACACAGTAAAAAATTTATTTTTCATGTCCATAAAGTCCACTGTGGGTTGGTGACCCTCCTTGATGGCTGTCTTCCATTGATGACAGAGAGATCCAGGACACTTCTCCATTTAGAGGTTTTTTGTTTTTGTTTTTTTTTGCTTAAACCACACAGAAGAGAGTGTCGAGAAGTTGTACTTGCTCTTAGCCTCAAACTAGCGGTGACACATCATTACTGCTCACGTCCTCATTGGTCAAAAGTAGCCACATAACCTCAACCAAACTGCAAAGAAGGCTAGGATTAGAGAGGAATACAGAATATTTTGTGAGAGTCTTTCCCATGGCTGGGAATTTGAACCCTGTGGGTGCCTTTATTCTACTTCCAGGAAATGGTTCTAACAACAACCCCTGCTCAGAGACTTATCATGGGCCCTCCCCTCAGTCAGAGCCAGAAGTGGCTGCCGTCGTGGACTTTATCATGTCCCATGGGAACGTCAAGGCTCTGATCTCCATCCACAGCTACTCTCAGATGCTCATGTACCCCTATGGCCACTCTCTGGAGCCTGTTTCAAACCAGGAGGAGTTGGTGAGATTGGCTGCTTAGGGCTTGGGGGAGGCACCCAGCAGACTCTCAACTGGCCCCCTGGTAGGGAGCAGGGTGGGGGTGAGGGGCTTGTTTTCACGTGTGATCAAGTTCACAACTGGAGATGCTGTGCTTCCTTCCTGCAAGAGCCATCTACACATTCAGTTTCCAAGATGCCTAAGTCCCTGGTTCTCAGCACCTGGTGAGGGTGTGTGTGATGGGGTGGGGACCCACTGCCTCTCACTCTCTGGATTGAATCTTGCAGTACCATCTTGCCAAGGATGCAGTGCAGGCCCTGTATGAGGTTCATGGGATCGAGTACATTTATGGCAGCATCAGTACCACCCTCTGTGAGTGAGCCGTCCCCTGGCTGCTGCTCCTGCAGGCGCCACATCCACCTGGGCTCAGGCAGGTGTAGGCTCTGCTGGCTGGCAGGCCTGCTTGGCCACAGGGCTGTGCCACAGATGCAGTGGGGCTGGGACAGAGCTGATTTCCACATCTGAATACAAGGGTGAATGGTGGTCCCTAGACCCAGCACCCACTTCTCTGCAGCATTAATTAGTGCACAGCCCCTGATGGCTGGCTCACTGTGATGCCCCCTTGGGGTAAATATCCTAAGTCTGGTGGCCTCCAGGAGCTTTCATTTTGCTAGAGCAGAGCATGCATTGGATGAGCAGGGTGTGGTCTGGGATGGGTGGGGGTTTGGCCTCCAAGGCCCACTGTCTTTGCAGGAAGCCTCTGTACCTTGTGAACATACTCTGTTCTTCCTTTTGGGGGGCATTTCTTTGCGACTTCACTTCACTTCACTTCTTTGCCCTTTGTCCCCAGATGTGGCCAGCGGGATCACAGTCGACTGGGCCTATGACAGTGGCATCAAGTACTCCTTCAGCTTCGAGCTCCGGGACACAGGGCGCTATGGCTTCCTGCTGCCCGCCGCGCAAATCATCCCCACGGCCCAGGAGACATGGATGGCCATTCAGACCATCATGGTGCACACACTGCATCATCCCTACTGACAGCACTGCTGAGGGGAGAGCCAGAGGGGTAGTTTTCTTTTCTGAGGCCTGGGCTCCTCCTGAAACCCAAGTTATGGATCCCTTCCCCATCCCTGCCCTGACTCCTTAGGAAATAAAAACAAATTTGAAGAGGCTCGGTGGCTTCTGGTGCTGGCTGCGACCCCTTTGGGCTCAGGAAGGGACAGGGGCCTTGAAAATGCCTCTTAACCTCCTAGGTACCCAGGAGGAAGGCGAGACTAGCAGGCATTCCCTTTCCTCCGCTTACAATGGGCTCGGGGCCCAAAACAGATAACACACTCCTTGGAGCTACTAATATCCACATTATCCCTTTGGCACTTAAATGTTAAGAGGACCCTGGAAGGGGCAGTGTGTGATCTGAAGGAGTGGATCTCTAGGGGTGGCATTTCTGGCACCCTGAGTGAGAGGTGGGTACAGACATGCAACCTCCTCTTCCTGCCGCATTTCTCATCCTGGGTAGGGAGGAGTTGTTCATTTTGGAGTGACCTGTTCAGAGTCCCCCATTTCGTCACCCGGATAACAAAAGTGAACAAGTCACTGGTTTGTGACCTACTCTTCCTGGGCACCCTCATAGGCTCCTTTGGTCTTGGGAGCGGAGTTGCAGCCAGTCAGAGCCAGTATAGCAAAGCACTGCAGATCCAGAAAGAGAGGTCCTCTTTCTCCTCACCATAGTCATCATGGTTGTCCTGCACTGAGAAGTTAGTCCAGGCAAGGCCATTTACTGAGAAAGCACTTTATCTCAAGGAGAGAATCTAAGACATAAATGAGCTGCCTTCTCCCATCCTCAGGCTGCCTTGTACCTTTTGCGTTACCCCATCACTGGGGAGCAGGGATAATGGGTCTGTTTGCCCTGCCTTCAGGGGCAAGCAGGCACCCCCAAGAATAGGAGGTCAGCTAGAGAGCTGAGTGGGCTTATGTAAGTCTGAGGCAGAAAGCAAGACCTTCATTTGCAAGGGCCAGACTTTTGTTTTGTTGTTGCTAAAGGACTGTGGGTACCAGAGAATGGATACATGTATGTGTATGGCTGAGTCACTGCTGTGCAGCTGAAACTTTCACAACTCCAATATAAAATAAAAAGTTAAAAAAAAACCCCAGAACTGTGGGTACCCAAGAATCAGCCCCTGCAGGACACAGAGTGCAGGGTTTTACAGACAGGGAAGAAATGGGGGGTGATGGGAATAAAAGCAAGTTCTACTTCCCACCCAACCTGTAGAAGAAGACAGAAGCTGGACCAGTTAGTGGAAAGAGAGCATCAGTGGTAATCACAGCTCTAGGTATGGGCCATGTCCAATATGGTGCCTGAGCCAAAGATTAACAGTGGCTGAGCAGGAGGTCTGGACAGGTGATTAGAGGCAGCCATATGGCTGGGTGCACATCAGTAATGCAGCTGTTGAGAGCTCTGAGCAAAGAAATGAGGTTGGTAGGTGAGAAGGCCTAGGGTAGAGGCAAGCAGGCTGAGCTGACGGGCCATGCAGCCAGTGGCCGTGATGGCACGGTGGGCATGCCTGTGTCCAGGGCCAGCTGTACCTTGATCATCTCCAGGAAAAGGGCCAGCGACCGAGGGGGAAAGAATCCTGACTCGGGCTACAGTTTCCCAAAAGAGACTTGAGTTTTTGTGTTTTTTAAAGCTGGAAGCAGCCTAGAATTTCCAAGCTGAATTTTTCTGCTATTAACAGAAACCCGAGGCTGGTTGGCTAAGTTAATATAAGCTATAGATAAATAAAGCAAGTCATACTTTTGCACACTGGAGTCTGTGATTATAACTTTTATGCCCTTTGCACAAATATTTTTATTTCAGCCTTGAGGGGAGGATATTCCTGGTATATAGACTCATTAATAAGCTCAGATAAGGAGAGCGTGATTTGGAGAGGTTTTAAAGGTCATAAAGGGCCACACAGATTGAAAGTTGGAGATTTGAACTTGGGTTTGTCTAACTCCAAACCCACCAAGTTACCATTTGTCTTAGTGTGGCCCGGGGCAGAATCTTTAGGGAGTCATTTAACATAAAGGTGGTTAGGTTCCACCCCAAGACTGAAACAGACTCTCTGGGGTGAGCCCCCAAATCCACCTTTTTACCATCTTGTCCAGAAGGTCTGAGGTTTCTTAAAGGCTGAGGACCTCTGATCCCTGCTCCTCTCACTCCCCTGACTTGAAGGAACATGTTCAAGTCTCCCAGGGACACCTGGGGCTTTGGGCCTCCTACCCTCTACTGCTATTAAGGCCGGAGGTGGCTACAATACTGGGGAGCCAATCACCCTTCTCCAGAATACTTCCCAGGGGCTGCCTTGACCTTAGCCTAGTGCAGTATAGTCTGCAGACCACAAGCATCAGCATCACCTGGGAACTTGTTGGAACAATAGATTCTCCAGCCACCCCAGCCCTCCTGAATCAGGATCTCTGAGGAGAGGACCCAGGTGATGCTAAAGCCTAGTCAGAGAAGCACTGTCCTAGAAGCAGCAGGATCTGGACTTTGATGGGCTTCCCAGTAACAGTGAAAATAATCAACTCTCTCTGGCACATACTACACACCGGGCATGTTTCCAAGGATTCAACCCATTGCCTCCTCACGGCTCCAAGAGGTAGGACTATTACTGTCTTTCATTTTCCAGAGGAGGAAGCTCAGACTCAGACTGGACATTGGCTTTTAAAAGGCACACAGCTACTGAGTGGCAGGCCTGGGACAGGCCTGCAGGTGACCCTAGTGATGCTCAAAGCTCTTCAGGACCAGGGCCAGGAACTCATTCTCACAGCCACGTTGGCAAGATCTCTGTGCAGCCAACAGGCCCTCTGAAGTTGAAGCTGAAACTGCTTTCCAGAGGGGGGGGTCTTCTTAAAAGGTAACTTTTCCCTTAAAAATCCTTCAATGACTTAAAACCCGCCCAAGGTACTGCGTGGCTGGCCCCGCCAGGCCCGACGAGGTGGCCAGCCTTGCCTCCCCTTTGTTTTAATGCCTTGTTCATCAGCCCCAGCCTCACCAGTTTTCTCTCCGTTCCTTCAGCTCCTTCCCAGCTAGAGGCCTGGCACGTGTTGCTCCTCCTTGTCTGGAATATTGTTTCCTTTTCTTCTTCCTTCATGTGTCCCACTCCTTAAGATTTCCCCTTCAGTATAATTTCCTCACTAGTCCTTCTCAGAGCACCCACTGGAAGTATATCTATTATTTCCTTTTCTCAAGCCTTATTTATTTCTTTGGGCGAACTCTGGGAGTTGGTGATGGACAGGGAGGCCTGGCATGCTGCAGTCCATGGGGTTGCAAAGAGTCGGTCGTGACTGAGTGACTGAACCGAACTAATTCGTTTCTTTGACAGCAGTGATACTGATTGACTTCTTTATCTGTGGTTCTGTCTACTGCTGTTTGAGAGCCTATGAGGGGACTGACCATGTCTGGGTTATTCCCTCTGGCTCGGCTCCTGTCAGGCACACAGTAGGTACTCAGTATTGAAGGGGTGTTTCTTCTTTTCAGCCTAGTGTGGGTTTAGCATAGGTGACAGAAATCCATCTTGCTGCTGCTGCTGCTGCTGCTAAGTTGCTTCAGTCGTGTCTGACTCTGTGCGACCCCATAGATGGCAGCCCACCAGGCTCCTCCATCCCTGGGATTCTCCAGGCAAGAATACTGGAGTGGGCTGCCATTTCCTTCTCCAATGCATGCATGCATGCTAAGTTGCTTCAGTCATGTCCAACCCTGTGTGATCCCATGGACAGCAGCCCACCAGGCTCTTCTGTCCATGGAATTCTCTAGGCAAGAGTACTGGAGTGGGTTGCCATTTCCTTCTCCAAACCCGTCTTACTGTGGCTTAACCAGATGAAAGTCTTGTTTCTCTTAACAAGTCATCTGGGGTAGGCAGTCCAGCCCTAGTTCAGTGACTCCTTGATGCACTGGGGACCCAGACCCCTGTGGCCTGTTCTGTTTTGCCACTCTACTATCCTCTTGACCGCTAGTCTGTCACCATCATATGACTGAATTCCAGACAGGAAGGGTAAGGGGCTGAGCTGACTGTCCATATGGACTTAAATGTACGTCTTATTGGCTGGGACAGTCAGGTGGCCATACCCCACCTGCAAGAGAGGCTGGAAAGTTGCTTTCTAGCTGGTCACATTGCTGACCCTCCCCGCAAATTTGGAGTTCTGCTGGCAAGGAGGAAGGGGAGTGTGGACATTGGAAAGGCAGCCGCAGACTCTGCTTCAGCTTCTCTGAGAGGGCAGAGGATTTTCAGGGGCCTCTGAATCCATTCCTTTGCTCTAGCTCATCAAGTTTCTGACTTAATCATAAAGCCATAGAACTTTCCAGCTTAAGGAGTCCTTTGAAAGTTTCTAATCCAACACTTTGCAGTTATAAAGATTGGAGGCCTTTGGATCATCCGACTTACATAAGGCCCCACATAAACTTAATGGCTGAGAGAAGCCAGGGATCATCCCCCTGGGACTGAGGGGTCTCTTCTAGCAAGCACAGGGGTGTGATGGCAGGGTTGGGGGGCAGTTTAGGTTTATCAAGTAAAAGCTCAAGACTTAGACATGCAAGTTTGGAATTATTACAAATAATATTCTATTATAGAATAATATTATAAATAGAATCCAATATTTTATTACAGAATAATCTCTTTTTCATAAAACTTGAACTCCCCCCCCTGCCCCATTTCTTAGGTATATAATACTAAACAAGACTTTTTTCTCCCCTGCATTCTGCTTGTTTTTTTCTCCCAACAGACTTTCCTTTTTTGGTATGTTTTTTCATCCTTTTCACCAGAAAAATTTATGAGCATTTATTTGAAAGAAAAAAAACATTGGAAAAACTGAAGGGAGAAAGAGCGATTATACATATGGAAAGCTATAAAGAACCACAGTGAATGTGCTGTGGTTATTGCTTTCTTAGAAAAACAAACTAGGCAGGCAGTTTGGAATGTGAAAGAGTTCTGTGTGAGGGCAGGGCAGGAGGCAGGGGCCGAGGGTGATGGGCTAATGGCTGGGGTCCTGGGAGTCCAGGGAGGTGCTGTCCACTTCCCCCATCCTCCTCCCTCTCACCTCTGCCTGCCCCCGACAGGGTCAGAGAGAAAATGACTTGACTGAAAGATAAAGTAAAAATTTAAAAAGCTTCCTTAGAAAAATAAGAAGGTCCAGGCAG